CCAGTGGACGCCCAAGTGTGCCTGCAAAAAGGAAGCAGCCAGATGACTGTGCCGCTGAAAAGAGACTGCTTCTTGAGTCAGCAACACAGGCATTGAGTAAGGCCGTCGAGGCAACCAAGCAAAAGGACGAATGTGACGACTTCGGCGTCATGATGGCCAATGCGCTCCGGCATGTGCCGCAGGGCCCTCACAGGCAAATGGCTGGCCTGCTGGCGCACGAAGCTGTCGTCAAGTATAGCATAAACATTAACACTCGGCCCGAGATTATCCAGGTGGCGCCTGACGAATAAAGTCACACTGGGCTGGTGCTAAGTCCTCCCATATCCTGAAGTTATTTGCATATTCATTTCATCGGTCACCGCTGTGTCTCTGATAAGGCATCATGCTATCTGCATAATCTGTTTGACATCGGGCATACTCTGTTCACCCATAAGTGGAAGCACGGTGAAAGCTACATGCTTCTTGGACCAGCCGACTGTCTGTCTTGCACCATGGGGCCTATCCTCCCTGCCTGCCTTCCTTCCTCTTCCTCCCCCTCCCCCCCCCCACACACACACAAAGTAAAATCCTGGCTACATGCCTGCATCAACCAATATATAGGCGCATATTTGACTTCGGTGCCGCAGCGACACACTATCACAGTGTCTGTAGGCCCTTAAATTTACGCATTAGTCTACTTTTACGCTGCATTCCTACTTGAAGCAATGACAAATAGCATCACTATTCTTGCTTTATGTGTTGACGAGACGGGTCTGTACCAGACAAAAGCCCATAGTATGATATTTCGCCGTTTCATGCACAGGCAATGCTCATCAAACAAGTGGTTGCTTAGGTGAACATGGGTTCGGTCAAGATAACTACTACGATTCATTGTTTAGTAGTGAACTAGCAGTCTTTCCAGGCAACCTAAAATGGAGGCTCCTGCTTTATCATAAACAAAGTTCTATTCAATGATTCAATCTGAAATCACCACTTTATTTTAAGTTTGTGCTTGTGACTTCCCATTTTATATTAAAATTTTGTCAGACCGTTTGAAGAAATACCTGTTTAGGGGATCATTCGCCACTGCCAGCTCACTTGTCCCTCGTTGACAAAGTAGTTCATGAACAAGTTGCGCACTGCCTTGGCAGTGTCACTGGAGTTGCTTCCGCCTCTTCGGAACTGTCTCATGGCACCAGCGGGAGTCACCCCCTGTCTCCATGATCCATTTCGCACATTGCCTGTGGGCCATAAAGAAATGTTACTGAGACACACAATTTTAAGAGTGTTTTGCCGCCTGGCGACCACACTGCTGCTACAGCAATGCATGTGAGATTTAGCCACAGGATCTCACTCTAGCACGTCAGTAATATTACTGAGCTTTAAATTAACGCCATGTGTGTCACTGATCCCTTGGCTAAAACTCGCCACGACTTTATCTACGTGGACAAAAGCGTACCAGTCTATTAATGTTCCATGACGAAGCCTCACTGAGTTAAAAGCTTCTATTTGATGTATGTAGCGACTCCAGAGTTGTATGAGAAGAATCCGTGAAATGCCTTTATCACGTTATCCTTCAGAGAGCCCCACATAATAACATATCGCAGCAGATTATATCGCATGAGCATTTTGCTAATTTCCACTAAGACCACTACATGGGCATCCATATTACAGGTTAGAACAACTATATCAGCTAATGTCCCTCTCCCAGATAGGACATAAGCAGCAGCAATCCCATGGCCGCTAAATGGATGGGGTGCCTAGTCATTTAAACTTGAAAGATGGGTGGGGCGGGGGGAGGGAAGGGGGGGGGGGGGGGGGCAAAGGAAAGCAAATAAATTTATTCTGATGTTTACATGCAAGATCGGTGAGCTTTTGTCTAGTCAGTTTCTGAGCCCCTTTAGTCATTTCGAGTCATTTCTTCATGACAGAACAGTGTTGAAAAGTGTGAGCGCGGCTCCTGTATTTTAATAGAATGTTAATTCGTTGTTTCGTCGACATTCATGCATTTTCACGTAAGGGGAAGAGAAGGGGATGCCTCCAGGAAACAGGAGCACCACGAGACTCATTACGCGCTGCTCTGTCGGCCATGGACTGCACTACTCTGCGCCAAGGGCGCTATATAGTGCACTTAACAACCTCGCCGTGGGCGTGCGCTTGCACAGCTTGACATACCACGAGCAATTCATGCATTGCAGCCTGTTTCCTGTGAACTGAAGTTATGGCGGTGTCATACATACGCTGATCATCCCATTGCGGGATATAAAAGTGGTTCAGAGTATACACACCAGTCAAGATGTCTTCGACATCCAAGCTGTCCTGTGGGGTATACAGCTGCCGAGTTATCCGCTTTGACCGGAGGAAGTTGTGGAGAGCCACTGTGGCCAGAACGATGTCAGTGGCTCGCTTTGGGTCATGGCGAAGGGGAGACCGGTAGATTTGCCATCGGTTCACAAGCACTCCGAAGGCATTCTCAGACGTGCGGCGGGCACGTGAAAGCCTAGAAGAAAGTGCACAGGTGTCAACTAAGCAACTAAAATGTTGGAGTGCTTTCGTGTGATCCCCCAACCTAGACGGGCCTTTCTGACATTGCGAGCCGAAATGACGTGCCATGTCACTGCTGCAGCACTCGGAGCTAACAGGACCTTACGTCAGCCATTGGCAGACGTATTCCACGTTAACTGAAATCAAAACTAACTTCCCTCAAACATCTGGTCAAAACTTCAGCCCGTCGAAACCAGTGGCTCAGGATGGCCTAATCGATTAAGGTGCTGCCCCGCTTAGGCAGAGGTTATGGATTTAATTGCGACTCCTGGCCCAATTTTTTGCCAGCTCTTTCCTTCCAGCTTAATGAAAAAATTAAACTCCTTCCCCTTCACCCTTTCTTTTGCACATTACTCAAGGCTGCACTTGTCAAAAACAACCCTTCTCACCATATATATATATATATATATAAATATATAAGTGAAATGGATTATTGAGGTTGCCTCAAGTGTATAGCCCGTAGCTCATATTTATCAGGCATATAAAAGAATAGTCCAAGATTGCACATAAATTAAAATGATGTGCTATCCATGATACTTTTTCATGCATGCTTCATCCCTTGAAGTCTCAAACTGCTGTATGTTTAGCTGAAGTGACATGACATGCATTATATCACACATTTGTCCACTTCTCCATAACCACTGAACCAACAGTAATAATTTACGGGTGAATCTCTACGCCTGATTTCTTTGCCTCTGTTTATGTGCACCGATCCCTTGCGCATACAAACATAGGTGCGCTGTTTGCATCTCCAATCTGCCCCATAGTATCTTCCAAAACTAGTAGGTATGCCAAATGAGCATGGGGATATAACTCGGCTCATACTATCCACAATAGTGCACTCTACCTGTAGTTAAACAGCCGCTTGTCAGTGGTGAGCTCAGCTGCAGGGTACGGTCTCATCAAGTAGGGTTTTAGCCCAAAGCCTTCATCCCCCACAATGACGTAGGGTGCCGAGTCTCTTGACCTAGGAAGCAGTTCGGCATCCGGAAGTATGGAGGGTTGCCTCTCCAGAGTCTCCTTAAGCTTGCAGGCACCCCAGATGCCGCTGTCGTTCATACGACCATTTCGGCCGACATCTACAAATATGAAGTTTAAGTCTGCATCCACCAGTGCCATCAAAACAATGCTGAAGAATCCTTTGTAGTTTCGGAACTGTGCCCCAGTCTCATGTGGTGGCACCAGGGCAACGTGTTTCCCATCCAGTGCACCAACGCAATGCGGAAACTGCCACAGGTCCTGGTAGCCCTGCGCAACAGCCTTCCACTCTGCAGGACTACTGGGCACCTGAAATAAAAGGAAAAGGTACTTACAACCGTAACAGATGTAACATTGACCTGCATGGCAAACCCAGGCTGGGCATTTAGGGGTGGATGGGTGGCTGACCCGAGAAAGCTTATTCTGATCAGGTTGTCAGCTTATCTTCAGAATTAGACCCGATAATGATGACAACCGGTTTAACCAACAGGCCATCTTGGTGTAACGAGTTAGCCAGACTTGTGGGCGAAACTTTTATTTTCTATTAGGTTCGGCGTGTGAAGTCTGTTGTCCATTAAGATACATTTTGGATTATTTTCAATGCACGGCAAGTTTGTGGGAGGGGGCAGGTATCACATTGTGTTTAAACATACTGCAAAAGTCAGAGAAACCTGGGAGCCCCTCATCTGCTACAAGTAAGCATCTGGCTCCTGCCATATGCCTTTGCTAATGAAGGCAATCATGCACAAATTCAAGCCTGCCAAAGCTACCTTCACGTGCATGATGGTGCTTTCTTGACTGGTGCCCTATGCATGCAAGAGATGCCACGTTTGCAATAGTCGGTTCGTGACCCCAAGCACGCGCTTTAAGTTCTTCAACCGACAGCTTCGTCCGCTATCCACCGTGTGCCCGAAGATTTTGATCAAAAAAGTGAATTAGTGCCGGACCCTCAATGGGCAGGTTCACATTTAGAATGCTTAGTGCCGTTTGCGTAGTAGTAGATGCCCTGCCTCCAACATGCGCTAGTTTTCCACCATGCTCTAGTAGCACCTGCGCACTTGTGTTATAGAGAGTACAATGCTTGCATGAAAGGTGGGGCTTCTACTTCATTTTTAACCTCTCGGCAGCTATAGTAGTGAAGCCAGATCGATTACGGACATTTTCCGCAGGGACACGATTGCACTAGCTCCACTGCTCTTTGTTTCTTTGAATCAGCCGGGAGATACCTGCCACCTCAGACATAGTTTGAACTTTTCATGGCCCTTAATCCTCAAAGGGGCACTAAAGAAGTTTCTGAGATTCCCTTTTTTAAGTGATAAGGCATTCTACAATCTCGAACAATCCTAACATTACAATCATGTACGTATTGCCATAGAAATCTGGGAAATCAAAGTGTGGACAAATCCAGGGACAAATAAGCACAAGCATTTACGTGTTTCTGTGTCTTCATTTCGCGTTTTATAATTTTTATCCTTCGGAAATCTATGAAAAAAGAATGTCTATAATACCTTTAGGAAATCATCCCTGAGGACACTGTAGATTGCAGGACATACGTCTGCCACAATGTTGGACACGGTGTTGTGCGCCCTCCGGAAGTGGTACTGCAGCGATGTCTGACTGTCTTCTGAAAATAAGTATAGAAGATTGTGACAATGTTAATTTTTACCTTTCTACCGCCAGTTGGTGTCGTTTTAGCAAACATAATCCGCAAAAGAAAAAAGGAAATAGCCATAAAACAGTGAGGGAATGGCAGCATACCTAGGAAATACTGTATTACCGCAAAAAGTGTGGCTAGCGTTCCGTCCAGACGGAACGATAGTCGCCACTAGAGTTCCGTCTGAAATGCGAAGAGCTCGTGTTATTTGGGTCACCCCGATCGGACGGCGCGTGTATTACTGGGACGCGTGTTAACCCACACCCCCGCCTGCGTTCACGTCGCTTCGACCAAAAAAAAAAAAAAAAAAAAAATTAGCACCCACCGTTAATCAAACCAATACCTCCTAGTTTTTGATCAAACCCGGGTCCGCTGTGTGTAAAGCAAACACCTTTCCACTACGCTACACCACCGCTGCAGAAACCGATTTTCACCATTCGTTTTATACGAGACCCAACGTAGTGCGTATAGCAATTTCCGTCCGAGCTGCACTCCGGAGTGCATATAGCATTACTCTATTTATTGTTATTTTTTTTTTTTGGGGGGGGGGGGGGGGGGGGTATTTTGCTGACACCGGCAGACTGCCACACGTGAAAGTAGACGCGGCCCAAAAGAAAGGGAGGCTGCTTCGGCAATAATTTTACCGGGCTAATGTGCCGGCAAAATAGGGAACTCCTGGCTGCTGAAGCAGCACGAATTCGTACATAAAGCAAGGCCGAAACTTACCAGTGGCAAGATATCGCAATGTAATTGCGAGCCGCTCTCCGGCCGGGACACACAACCGGAAATTCGTGTCCCTTTTCTCGATTAAAGGTCGAACCCTTGCGAGAAGCTCCTCAAAGGAGCCAGTGTCCATTCGGATCCAGCGACGGTATGCTTCTGAATCTTCTAAGGCCAACTCCCTCATTAGATTCTCGTAAGCGCCTTGTTGATGCACTCTTTGCAGCCACTGGCTGGTCCACTTTGATCGCGGCTTCTTCGTTGGTGGCATCTCGTCGTCTGAGTCTACGGCACATAAAAGCACCAAAGCAGCCGCAGCAGCAGTTTCTACGTCGTGCGCCATCCCGAAGAGCTGAGGCAAACGGCGGCGGGAGCTAAACGCAAGTGCGCACAAGATAACGCGAGCGAGTTCGCTCTAGCACGATGAACGCCGCGGACCAGGGTGGCCCCGGACGGTAGCTTGCGCCACCTAACCGCAGCGCCAAACGGTCAAGCTGTTTTTCGCGTTTTTGACGACAAACGCGCTGTCAATGAGCACGACGAGCAATAAAATAACAATATTTGCGAGAAAAACGCGGATAAGCACAAAAAGCAAGACAAGCGACTGGAAAAATCTACCAGCGACTCGGAAAAAAAAGAAGCCCACAAATACTAGTGATGGGACGAATCTTTATCCGAATCGAGATTCGGAGCCGAATCTGAAGATTCGGAAAGATTCGGAAAAGTAGCCGAATCTCGAGAGATTCGGAAAAGTTCGGAAAAATTCGGAGCGTTGCCATGGTGTCCAGATCACGTTGATGAGTGTTTCAACTTTTCGTGATATTAAATTCACTAAATTCCACGAAGTGCACAAAATATTGCTGTAATATAATATCATAGTAATAAATAAAATGTTCCGCTTTGTTTATAATATTTCGGATGTTTGTCGAGAACGGTAACCAGACATCGCGGGAAAATTGGTTTCGGTTCCGGATTACGACCAAAATAGGCATGCTTGGTGCACGTGGAAATACAAGCGCATGTTTTCATCGCCCCGGTCCCGGCGGTTCGGCCAGTTCGAACTTCAGTGACAGTCGGTTGTGGGACAGGCGGTTTGACGAGAGTTTGTTGGGCACCAGGAACCTCCGGCGTTGTCGGCGGGGTCATGGCAGTGACCACCGCGGCTGCCTCGGCGGCGAAACGCAAGCGCGATAAGTTCCTCGTGGATTTCGTCAGGCTTGGCGTGGTCGCCCCAGCCCGGCGGGATTCGGCGGACGTGCAGCCGGTGCAGCGGCGGGTCGACGGAGCGCGAGGTGATGTTTGCGCGAAGGTCACGTTCTCGTACTCCGGGGTTCCCGGAGACCGAAGACGTCCAGCGTGCTCGTCCGAGGTTCGCAGCAGTCCACCCCGGAAGAGATCGATGCCATACGTGCGTGGTTCAAACCACGACCGGGTTCAAACACATTTCGTGCCCATAATTACGGTCATAGTAGCACACCCCACACAAGTAAGTATGTTCGATTCGATTATCTTCAACGTGTGTCCACTCCGGTATTGTTATCTGAACACGGGAAACAATCTAAAACTCCTTGCGCTGTACTATTCTCCTGTACTGCATTTGTACCTTTCTGTTTAATGATACGGTATCTGAATTAGTTGGTGTTTGTTTCTGAACAATAAAGTTGCGGTGGACACCCCTGTGTTGTTTCTTTTTCATCAAATAAAGTTCACGTATACAAAACTTGCTGCCGAGAACGGAGAAACGACAGTGCGACGTTTTTCTTCGTCGGTGTCGGTAGGCGGTCGAAGTTGGGATGAGCAACACACTTCATCGCTCTCGCGTCTTACGCAGCTCTAGAGGAGACGAATCATTTTCTTGCATAAATATATTTATTGCGCGTTGCGCCACATTATGTATAACACACAGCATTTTGCTACATTTTACTTTAGCGATCACCGCGGAACTTTGCATTGGTTAGGCCTACGCCAACCACACCGATCAGCTCGGCTGGACCTGGGCGCCTGCCAGGGTTTAGAGTAAGAGTACAGTACATACCATACGTTGAAGTAAATAAGAGAAATCTGGTTATATGCAGTAACAGTACCTAAAAAAGAACACAGCTGATCGCGTTCGCGAGGTTTACGAAAGTGTTCACGCCGCCGTCTGCAACCAGCGACGAACCTGACGAATCTCCGAATCTGCCGAATATTCGTCGCGGGAAGTTCGGAAATTTCCGAATCTGTCCGAATCCGAATCTCTGGTGATTCGTCCCATCACTAACAAATACGCTTTTAATAAGCGGAACTGGCCACCCTGCTGCGGACGCACCGACTCGACGCGATGGTTCCGGTTGCACTTCGCGCACTGCGCAAATGATCGAAAGAGAGGAAGGGTAGGAAAGGAGGGGTGAGGGAGGGGGTACTTCGTGTCGTTCAACATGCTTTCTTGGTGTGACAGGCTGTTGTCCGACCGTCGGACAACAAGTCGGCGGAGATGGTTTCCGGGCGACAACGACATGTTTCCCGGAAGTTGCTGTTGCCGCAATGTGACAGGGTAGCCGGACACGTGTTTCCGTCGTGTTCTCAGACATAGTCCTCCGACTGTTTCCGCAGTGTGACACCGCCTTTACCGCACCGCCGGCATAATCAAGCAAACAATATATGTTTTCCCAAGAAGGTAAATGAAACAGGAATGTTGAATATTTGGTTATATAGAAAGTAAATAGACACTTGCTATAGTTGAACATAAACAGGAGAAAAGTCGTTAACCGAGACACTTTTTTTTTTTGTTGCTTAAACAAGTTTTGCTTAGACATACCCGAAACTTTTTTTACTATTATTTAATCCTTAGGTTCGCGCCACCACTCTATGGACGCCATACTACCCCTCTATTTTGCGAATTCTAGAAATCAACAAACGTTGTTGCTGTTCTTTTTTTTTCTGATATAAAGTTGTTTGAGCTTCTTCGAGCCCAAAGCCCCACCATATTTTGTCACACTGATGCGCAGAGGTTGTTTACTGATGACAATGCTATAAACTGAACGGAGGCCATGACTGAACTTACGAATGCAAAAAAGACAATATTGCCCAGAAATAAGCAGTGCCGTCGTAGCGCAAATCGCTGATAACAGCAGTTGTGTTTTTCGCAACGAAAAAAAAATATAATGCAATTAGGGCTGGGCGTCGATTTAAAATTTTAACACGACTAATCACCACCCTTTAATCGATTAATTAATCGATTAATCTATTCCGTTTATTCACACGTATAATAATTTTTAAAAAGTTAGCTAGTTAAGTTAGTCTATAACTTTTAAAAAGTTAAAATAATTCTTTTTTTTTTGCGTTTGATAAATATGTGATAAAAGAAGCAATGCACAAGTTCGGATTTTAAATCAACCTTGATGTGTAGTTGAGAACAGCCACAAGACACCCACGCTCAAGTTACTACCTCAGCAGCCGAGGCAAAGAGGTATGTTGATATTCTCCGGCAATGCGACTCCTAGCTTTGATTGTTCACAAAAGACTGCTCCGCTAATCACACGGCGATGAAGTAGTTGGGACACGTATAACCTTCTACACTTGTTTGGAGTTACAAATTTCGCCCCTATACAGCTTGCTTTAGGTCAAAATTTCACCTAAAGTTTGCACTCAAAGATATTTTCGTCCACATCTGCATGATGAAAGCGTACAATGTGTCCTGTTTGTTGTTTGTCAAAATTTAACCGATTAACCGGTTAAAAAATTAATCGCGATTGAAGCATTAATTAATTAATCGGTAGGTTAATAGATTAAATGTCCAGCCCAAGTGTACACGTAACAAAAACTGTACCACTCCCTAAACCATGTAATCAGGAATGCCGCAAAGATGCAAAGACTCCTAAAAGTGAAGTTAAAGAACGCCAGTTTAACAGTGAACCCATAATTAAAAATTTAAAACAAAAAAGAAGAAATATATATATGCAGTCTTTTTATTATTATTTCAAATCTGTTTAAAAAATGAAAGCCGTTTACAACTCCCTGTAACGCCGAACTAGAGCGCAGCTCTTGAGGAGGAGGAGGGAAGGGTACTGAGGGGAAGGTATACCCCTCCTCTTTCCTTCTCACCCTGTCTGCTGCTCCTCCCTCCGAGCGGTGTCGCCGTCGCCTCGCGAGGGTCACGTGATCTCACAGGGGTCATGTGACGCCACCGAGGTCACATGACCTCACAGGGGTCACGTGACCTTTGTCAGGTCCCGTGACAATGACGATGACGCCATGACGATGACGTCACGTGTGGCGTCATTGTGATGACGTCATCAGTGACGTCACTGTCATCGTCACTGATGACGTTATCAGTGACGTCACCAGTAACATCACTGATGACGTTATGAACACTGGTGACATCATCAGTGACGATGACAATGCCGATGACGTCATTTATGACGTCATCAGTGACATCACCAGTGATGTCACGCGTCCCATAATACACCGCGCGGTTACGCCAA